TAGATAGAATGTTTACATTTATTTGATCTAAATCTATTTAAAAGTCTTTACGGTCACTTTGGATTAATTTAATGCATCATTTCTGAATAAAAGTATTAATTTCTTTCAAAAAATCTTACTGACTGATGATGTTTATGCATGTATATTTTATGAATATATATAAAAATAATGTGTTTATAGTATATCTTATATAATATTAATTATATACTGTACGTTATTTTTTGAGCAATGAAAACTCAGAATTTCCATGCCCTACTTCCTTGTTTTTTTATGCTATGCAAATGTATCCTGGAGCAGAGCTGTTTTGACTAATCCGTTTTATCCTCAAATGTTCTCTCGTTTTCCTCTCACAGATATGCGGGAGGTGGCTGTGCACAGGGCTGGTTTGGGATACTTAACACGTTATTTCAACTCGGTGCAGGACCTCAAAGTACGCTTAGGAGATGATGTGGAGCTGGAATGTTCTACTTCAGCTTCTGAGGCACCTGAGTACTTCTGGGCTAAAGAGGTGACAGATTTAATACTCTGTAAGATTTAATCTTACAGTTTTTTTAACATGATGCATTACTCTGTCTACTGCAAAACTGCTGTATTGGGATTGCAGTTGTCTGTTTTCATGGAAGTTTCTCATACATTTGAGAGAAAGACCTGGAAGGCCAGCTTGCTGTGGAAGTGAAAATAAGCTTATTCACTCAGGTCTAGGGAAAACGTTGAGAAAGTTGTCATCTCATTTAGTCAGAACAGGAAATGTGCTAAGCCTGGATAAACATTTAAATGGTGGCTGTCATAACTTGATGGATTTATTCAAGCATAAATTAAACATTGAAGAACAGTAACATTTATAATGAATATGTTATATAGCGCATATATTTAGCAAAATGCCCCTCTCTTCAGTTTCTTTTTCTATCTGACTAATGAGTTTATGGTCACCGAATATGTTTTTCTGAGGTAAACGTGACGTTACGTGACATTGTTTACGTTATATTGACGTCTTTGCGCGGCTGAAACACTGATTGAGCGATTACATGAGACAGGATACGGATTGTAAAGTTGTACTCTTTCTTTTAACTTACCTTCGGATGTTTAGTCATGTTTATTTTGTGCTGAAACTGTAATTAATGTGGAGGAGATGATCAGTTCACTTGCGCCTTGCGCTGACCCATCTGTTGATCGAGGCGCTAAGGCGATCTGTCAATTCACATTAAACAGCGCCAAAACGGCATTTATTGTTTGAATACTGCAATACAATGGACAGAATTTGAAATCATATTTGTTTCATGTTTCATATTAAAAGTACCAAAGTGCTTATTGTGATATGCTGGATGGGACGTTCCGTCCCCTTCAACGTTCCGTCCATTAACTGAAAACAGGCTAGACTAATCGATTCTTGGGATTTAAGAATCGATATCATTCCATAAAAATGAGAATCGATTTTTACCCAGCCCTATGGAACAGTGTATGGTAGATCTACACTAAAGAGTCTCTAGTGGTCTAGTCTAGTCTACACTCCTCAAATCAATTCTGATTCTTTTTTTATATGTGAGCCTTGTGCAACCAGGGTCCAAAATTGCAGCCAAATGTGAGCAAAAGTTGGCTTTAGTGAGGAAATAAAACTCATCAGGGGCCAGTTACTTCTTAGTGTCTAGTTATTTAATAGAATGGTTAAAGTAGAAGTTTAAGTTTAAGCAGAATATGAGAACGATAATCGTACAATCACTGATATAACTCACACATGTGATTCAAATCAAAGCAATAAGCCACATGAGTCTTAACAGATGTTTGCTAAAGAAAACATCTGTCACGACTCAAACATCTTCCACCTCAGTGGTAAATTTGCCAACATTTTTTTTTATCTAGGAAGTCAAGAAATGTTTTTCTCCATGTGGCAACACATGTGAAATATTTCTCATATTGAGCCACCAAAATGAATATATTTTAAGGAACAAAATCCTGATGTGCAGTTTCAAGGAGACTGAAGTATATTTCTATATTATGCAATATCGTTTTTGCCACTGCTATAGGCACAAAAACTAGGCACACACTTTTTAATATTACATTACATTACATTACATTATATTATATTATATTATAATGAATGAAAATCGTTTCAGGGACAGTACCAAATGTTTTCTGTTAAGGCTAGTTAAACTCTATTCACTCACTATGGGTTGGTGAGACATATTGTTCATTTTGGACCTGTGAGTAACGGTGGATCATACATGTAACATGCTGTAAAAAGCATGTGCATACTCTGTTTCTCAGACCAAAAAAAATCCTCCAAATGTCATGGTGTGGGTGATTGATGACCATAGAATTTCATGAGATGGAAATGCAGAATTACTCATTCCTGTTATTAGGATGTCCTCCGCCACACGTCACGAATGTGCAGTGTCATTCTCTGACAGTTCAAGTTCATATTTTCACTTACTCAATTTGGTTTCAAAAATGCACTTTAGATTTTTATGAACAATTTCTTATGAAGAGTAAACCAGAAAAGCCAGCTTCCCTTAAATGACAGAGCACGGTCTGACATATAGCAGCTACCTGTTTACTGTGCTGTGTCTGCACTCCAGCAGAAGAAACAGGAAGACATTTGGAGCCAACAGATTAGCTTAAACAATGGTACTTTGGCCAGAACTTTGGCTTGACTGGGAATCCTCTTAATTCACTTTCATTTAAATTGAAATGGACTTTGTTGGCAGGCTGCAGAAGTTCCTTTAGTGCCAAAAGCATTTGTACGGTTATGATGTGCTCTGAGTGGATTTTGCACAGGCATTTGTTTCCTTGAATTGTACGGTGTTATGTTTTACTTTTGCTTCATTACTCTCTTATGCTCACTATTGTAACTGGTGCAGGGATTCCTAGGAAACTTTTAATAGATTTAGTTTTTTCTTTTCATTTCTGTTGAGTTTTTATTTAAAAAGTATAGAGAAGTGGGAATTCACCTTCTTGCATGCTTCCCTTCATAAGAATGAAAAATTCTGGCTTACCTTTCTTACGTCAGATCTCTCATGGAGTTCCTGCGTTGCTTTTCACTTCTCAATAACTTCTTCCCTGTTTTTTTTCTATCAAGGGAGAGGACTGGCTTGTGCCCTCCAATAAGCTGAAGTTGGAGAAGGTGAGGGAACAAGATGGAGGAAGATTCACCTGTTCGGCTCAGTCTCCTACTGTGCGTTCCCTTATGAAGAAACGTACAATCAGCATCACTGTTCTACCAGGTCAGAACATCAAAAAGGGGTCGACAGTGTGCCGCTTATAGTAAACAACTTGAGTTGATTTGTTTATATACAGTATGTGTATATGATTTAAACGTTTCATTTGATATGAATGGCACTAACGGCACTATTTATCCAATATTCAGTGTAAATTATCTGAATACAACAGGAAGACATTTGGAGCCAATGAATTAGCTTAAACAGTGGTGCTTTGGCCATATGTAAGCCTGTGGAAGACAATATTGACCTTGTGACCCCATTTAACTTCCATAATATGACATATTCCTTAATGAGACAGGATAAGTCAGGATAATAATATCTGACTGCCATTCTGTTAGAATTGAGCATTATAGCTTAAAAAAATTACATAAAGTTAATTTTATTGGTAGAGCACTTTTTTACAATCCATGTTGTTTTAAAGCAGCTTTACAGTTAATTGTGCCTAACTGTGGCCTAATGTCTTTTGATAACTCAATACTTTTCTGCATTTTGACAGTAGAGATATTTAGTAATTTGTTCTGAAATAAAAAAATTTACAAAATTTATACCAGCCACTGTTAAGTACATTCAAAGTGTAAAGATTCAAGCCATGGAATCAAATTGATGTCAGCAGAAAATGAGAGTCATTTCAGAGAAAGAGCAAGTTATTACATTTTGATTTGATTTGAAGAGTATGAAGCTAGCGATTATTTTATTTGCACTAACGTGAACTGATAAATCACAATAAGAACTTGATGTAAATACGGTTGAATTTGATTTAATGCTGATAATTACCTCACCTGCCCAAGGTTGAGAAAATAATAACAAAGTGTTGATCAAGTTAAAATAGTTTAATTAGGTTTTTTAGTTGTTTTTTTGTGTTTGACAGATGTATAATATGTAATTGTCTCTGTCTTATAGAGGATGCAGCATGGTATGAGACAACCACCGGTCGCATTGTTCTCATGGTATCTGGAGCAGGATTGGTCCTTCTGGTGGTTGTGATATCCATGACCACTTACCTCTGCCGCCGAGCCAGACAGAGGAAGAGCAAGGGACCCATGTAAGTACTTTGAACCACCCTAGTCATGTTGTCTAGAAATGATTTATGTGGGTGTTTGACCTCCAGCACTCCTCCATCATGTGGAGTGGAGTCTGTGTATTATTGTGAGCATCAGTAGATGCTGATGATCACTTCTCTCCCCCTGCATCTTCGCACTTCCTCAAAGCAGTCCCGGCAGGCTAGTCTGTGTGCAAATAACTCACACTAACCACGTTCTCCCTCAGGTCCAAATCTTTTCTTATTCAACCCGATAAAACACTCACTCTGTCGTATTTCCTTCTCTCGTCCTTTCAGTGATGACCGCTCCCAGAAGAAACCCATCTACAGAGCCAGCGTGGAGTCCCTGCCCTCCACCGCCTCTGACAAGCAGCCGCTGGTGTAAAGAGTGAGATTGATGGAGGACTGGAGAGGAGAGGAGAGAAAAGATGACGAGAAAAAAGATTAGGGAGTATTGGGTATTCACAGTGGAAGAGAGTTAATGAGAGTTTTGCTCATGGATTTTGTTATGCTCTTGGGTCTTCATTCAGATATATAATTAGGAGACTGTCTATGCAGGGAATCGAAAAAAGTATACAAAGACGGGACAAATGATGGTTTTACTGTGTGTCCTTTCCAGTGTGGATGGCAGCAGTGCTCTTCAACAAAAGGTGTGCAATTTTCTCTGTATTGATTCAACAACCCTGCAAAATTGAGAAATGCTGAAAAGATGTTTTTGTGAGGTGACATTGAACGCTTCTTTCTTCCCACCAGCCTTGGTTTGGCTTATTTCTTCAAACTGATTAACATTTCTTGTTAGGAAAACTACCATCTGCAAGCTGTACGATAATTTAGTCAGATGTAGAAATTTTAGGGGTATTGCTTTACATAAGTATATAATGTTCTGCTTCATTTGAAAGGACAGTAGATAAGATCCAAACTAACACTGAACCAATTACTCTAGAAGCACTTTGAAACTGTAGCACTTTTTTACACAAGTTTGATTTTTCCATATCTTTGAATTTAAAGCTATTAAAATAATTTTACAACATAATCACCCTCCAGTGTTGTTACTGATCTAATTAAGATAGACGTTCATGTATGCCCAACTTTGAAGAAATCTCAAGAGAGTTCATCTCTATGTAAATGGCATTTACGCTGTTTATAAAAAGCTCTTTCCATTTCAGACTTCCGAGGTATTAAAAAATACCTGTAATTTCTCAGTCAAGAGTTCTGATACATAACATACATCCCCTAACTGACCATTACAAAATACAAATAAATAATATCACATGAGCATGACTGCTTTTGTCTCGAGTGGACTATCATGTGATTTGCATATTGTTCTTTTACAACAGCTTAACAAACAAGAAGTTAGTATTGAGTAACTTATTGCCAGCTACTTTGTCTGTTTTCCAACGAACCAATTCTAAAGCAAAATCAATACCCGAATGAACCACTGATGAGCGAATCGGTCTAATGAATGATTCAATGACTCACTTATACTCATATATAGTGCACTATTTGAAGGTGTCAGAAACCTTGGTAGACATTATCAAGTACACTTATTCATGTGCAATGTAGGAAGCAGTGACTGAGGTTATGGGTGGTGGGGCAATTTCAGATACTGCATTTTTTAATGAATCAGTGTTTCTGAATGAATAGTCTCAGTAAATGATTCAGTGATTCTAATGTCACTTGACCAATCAAATTCAAGGGCAGGAATCATCAATACTGCCATAGTACTGCGCATACTGTATGAAATAATAATACGTTTTTATTCTGGACCTGCATTTCACCTTGGTCTCTAAATGGGTGGTAACTATGCTTCTGTCCAATCTAATAATATAGGCAAGAACTAGAAATGTGTCAGGAAACGCTTTGAATACAAAAGAAAAGGAGAACAAATCCATACCTAAAAAGGCCTTGAGGCAGTCCAGAAGTATTTTTTCAGAATGTGACATATCTCATCTTTACATGCTGCCACAAGCTTAACTTGGTTTGACATTTTCACAAACAACATGAGCTGGAATTGCCTGCACTATACTCAGTCACCACATAACCACAACTGTTTCTTAATTTTACCCTCCAATGCTTTAACCTCAGCAGTTAATCACTGTAAACATTATCATAGCTACTTATTTCATTTCTTCTGTCTGCTATATTAGTGTTTCATTTTGTGTGGTTTTATTACCAGTGTGCGGCTGACCAGAGGCCGCCATTAATAACTGTGTTTTGCATGCCTTAACAATGACAGTTCATTAATGAAGGTACATGCCATGGAATACAACAATATTATTACACAGATTATTCAATAACTCTCTTCCTCTCCAGTGCTTATTCATAAAGTCCTTGAACAAGAGGATATATTAGCATGGCGAGTTCTTTGGAGTACAAACATTTGAAATGACTATGGACCTAAAAGAAAAATCCCATTTTTAAATTTTGCTTTCTCTTGGGGCTCTTCAAAGTAAATGGCCTGCAGCAGGAAAAGCTCCAAAGGGTCACGCATTTCACATTTACATCATCAAGATAATGGACTTTCATAAAAGAGAGGTCTGAATAATAAAAGCTCTAAAATGTCCACTGTTCTCTTGGAGTTTTTCAGAGCTGTAGGACAAACCCTACACCTCTAATTCACAGAAAACCCATTCCCAAACGAGGAAAGGATCCCAAACATCAAAAACTGCTAATTTACTGCATAAATATTTTAGTTCAAAATGCCTTGAGTTGCAATTTTGAATTAGAAATACTGATGTGTTAAAAGTATTTTTCACATCTTACCTACTAAGGTGCTTGTCAACAGTCATGGTTATTTTCTCATTTAAATGGCTTGCAGTTTCCTTTGTATACATGTTTCCGTTTTCAAATTATTTATGCTCTGACCAAAGAAGTCCAAAAGGTTTGATGTGTGCTGGCCAATTATAAACTACTCTGGCAACCGCGCGGCGCTACACGTGGAAAGAATGAAAGCAAACAAATGTTTTGGATCCTGCAGGGACTTTCTGGCTGTTGATTTCTAGCTTGTCTGTGACCATAATCTTCTAGAAGTGTTTCTTATGATTGACTATAATTGGACAAAGGAACTAAATCTATAATAGGCAACAGCAAAAACAAAGCATCATTTGGAGCAGCCAGTAGGCCTATTGTTCTTTTTTCAGTTTGCTGCTATTGCATAATTTAACATCTGAGATTTCTTCTACCAGAAACATGTGGTCATGTTAAAATTAATGTAATCTGTATCTGACTCTCAAAGCTTGTATTTTAGATAATATGATTAGTCTAGCGGTGGGTTAGCATGTTGATTTCAAACATCTAGCTCAAAAACCTCTTAAAGGGGTCATATGATGCGATTTCATTTTTTCCTTTCTCTTTAGAGTGTTACAAGCTCTTGGTGCATAAAGAAGATCTGTAAAGTTGCAAAGACTAAAGTCTCAAATCCAAAGAGATATTCTTTATAAAAGTTAAGAGTTAGCCACACCTACCTAAAACGGCTCGTTCGAACACGCCCCCACATATCTACCTCACTATGTGGGAAGATTTGCATAACGCCGCCCAAATGTTCACGCAAAGAAAGAAGGCGTAACTTTTATTCTCACTGTAGTATTGTTGCCGCTGCCGCCATGTCCTGAAGACGCTGTGTGCTTCGTTGTGAAAGCGAAGCTACTTTGTTTGGTCTTCCAAAAGAGGACGATATCCGCTTCGTCATGCCTGGAGCTGATCTGTGCTGGTCGCTGAGGAAATACATCAATTTACTGCTGTGGATCGCCGGATCGGCTTTCACCGTTTTCACCACTCCTTTGCCGGGACCGCCGTTCTCAACCCCGCCGCCTCAGCTCACTCTTGCCCGGCTTCAGCTCAGGCTAAGCCGGGGCTTTCGCTCATGCTAGGCCGCTGTGTGCTTCGTTGTGAAAGCGAAACTACTTTATTTGGTCTTCCAAAAGAGG